TAAAAATAATTAAAAAAAAAAAAAAACACCACCACCAAAATCCACTTTTTATTACACGAAGTGTAACTAAAAAACTAAAATTTTATTATTCCTATATCTACTAAAAGCTCTTGTTTATTGATTATTAACACGGTTTTTTGCATTTGCATACGATTTCCAAACCGAAATCTCCAATTTCCAGATGGTTACTACCAATGACCCTATCCTAAAACAGTATATTCATTTATTTGTACATTATCAGCACATGATAATCATTGAACTTTGGAAACGTTTACATACTCATACTGAGATTAATCGGACTTTTGTTCAATAACTAAAAATAAGGCCTTGTTTGTGAGAAGAAAGATAATGTCGAAGTTAAGAGTTGTTAAAAAAAACGTGACTTTACATCGTGTGCAAGAGGTCTGAGATTGATTCTGAGCTGAGGGATTACGAAAAATAGGACTATCTTGTTCTTTTTGTGTCTAATACTGGGTGTCACCTAGGATTAGCTTCTTTTTTTTGTGGCTAATACTGGGTGTCACCTAGGATTATCTTGTTCTTTTTGTGGCTGATACTGGGTGTCACCTAGGATTATCTTGTTCTTTTTGTGGCTAATACTGGGTGTCACCATTGAATTTTATGATTTGTTTGTTGACAACTGAAAAGCTACACGGTGGGCTATCTGCGCTGTGCCCACTGCTGGTATTGAAATCCGATTTTTAGCAAGATAATCCCCCAGACTTACTGCTAAGCCACTGGGGGTAAATCGATAGTGCTTTGATTACCTTTGCTTACACGGAGCATCCAGTAATATGGCCGATCAGAACTTACCGTGAATTTCACATTAATAGAAATTTTACAATAAATAAACATATAATTATTGTGTATTAATCACGTACTACCTTACGATTGGTTGAAACGCTTAGATCACGTGACACTCGGAATTTAAATTAATTATGTTTTTATTTATTAATTTTTTTAATTATCTTTCACTCCTTGTTTTACTGACTACTAATTATGGCTTCATTACTCGTTGAAAACGGTTTGTAGCCAAAGCTTGACGTCAGCAGTCGATGTGTTCGAAGGAAAACGAAGTTTGATTAAAAACAAGATTACGACACTTATGATATACAACATTGTTTATTGACAAAAAGGGGACATGGATAAACGTTTCGGAATTCTATCAGATTCCATCTTCAGTATCTAAAGCAATATAAAATAAATTTACATAAGTCTTTGGACATTGCTAAAGTACGATTGATAATTAAACAAATAAAACTGTAATCGTGGGGAGAAACTATAGCAAGAAAACACGACAAAAAGTAAAATCAGTAACACCAACATATTTCAACCGTGGGGGCGTTATAATGTGACGGTCAATCCCACTATTCGTTGGTAAAAGAGTTGGCAGTGGGTGTGATGATTAGCTGCCTTCCCTCTAGTCTTATATCTGCTAAATTCGGGATGGCTAGCGCAGATAGCCCTCGTGTAGCCCCCACGGCTGAAAGGGCGAGCATGTTTGGTGGGACAGGGAATCGAACCCGCAGATTACGAGTCGAGCGCCATAACCACGTGGGTGGGTGTAGAGAGTACTATGCAATGCAAAGGGAAATGGATTTGTCACCCTTAGTGCTCCATCTCGGTCAACAGTATTTCTTCATGCTTGTATTATAGATTTTAGCGCCGCTAGTGGCAATAATTAGAATTATTGTAACTTTATGTCGACGCGAAATGACTGATAAAATATATTTATCAATCAGAAAACAACAACAGTATTTTGTAGAACATAAACGTCTAATATCCTTTAGTAAATAGCAGGAAGTTTAGTGGTATTATTTTTTATGTTCTACTATTTAATTCATATGATAGAATTTCACGGTCAGGTGGCTAGGGCGCTCGACTCGCAAGCTGTGGGTTCGAATCCCCGTTCCACCAAACATCCTCGTCCCTTTTAGCCTTTTGGGGCATTATAAAGTTACGGTCAATCCCACTATTCGTTGGTAACGGTTTCCTATAGTCCATCCTTTCTAACGTAGGACTGTCTAACGCAGATAGACCTCGTGTAGCTTTGTGCGAATTTCCAAACAAACCAAACCTTGACAGAATTTTTCTAAACCTACCAGGTCGTAAAAAAGAGAGCGCGACCTTTCAATTCAGGCTGCGCATCTTTAACTTGTATATACCGAAATAAAGTAACGTTTTCTGCTGAAGCATATCATCAGTTACGTGTTCATATTTATGTTATCAGTTTCGATAAACCAGTAGAATGATAACTTGGTTTCAGAAATGTATTTAAATTATATCAATATTCCTCATGGCACGACGGCTGCCATTTCCAGCAACAGACATAAGATTCTCTTCAATGACAGAAAACGTTGGTGTGATGGAATGCCTGGTGAAGTTAAGTTATTTATTTATACGTCTATTTTATATAAACTGGAACATTTCATTTTGTTGACACACACGCGCGTACTTTCTTTATTCAGTATATAGTCGAGTGGGTAAACGTGAAAATTCTATGACATTTTCAGTTATAAATTTTTTGTTCTTCAGTATTTTGTTTTCCATACCACGAGCAGTCACTGTGTTATATATATATATAGATATTCTTCACATTCGAAAGAACAAAAAAAAAATTACCAAGCTTGTTTTGGACAGCTTGGAAAGAAAATAAAAACAAAAAAGATTCTTCATCTCGAAACTGACACCCACGCTAGGTTGAGTACGTTTGCTTTTGTAAGGACTTACAAATCAAAACTAAAACCTATTTAACAAACAAAACGTGATAACTCACCAAGGATGTGCTTCACAAATCATCCTCTATCTGCTTAACAACGTCGAGAATAAAGTCATAAACTTAATTATTTTATTACTTAGCAGTCGAATGACGAACTAAACGTATAGTAATCCAATTTCCCTAACTTGGGATAACACTATTGAAGAGAAAATTGCGTTTATGGGAGACGTTTTATCGCTATAAAGCAATAACAATCTTTTAAGACCCTTCTAGTTTCGCACAAAATAATCAACGCTAAAGCACATCTCTGATGTCCTTACTTGACTACGAGTATCTTTTTTTTTTTATAGGTATATATAATTCAACGTTGGTTTGTCACACTACACTCTCTGCTGTGTCTTCCGCGGGGCATCAAAACCCGTGTTTTAGTATTATAAATTCGGAAACCTACCTTTGTCCCACCCGAAAACAAATAATTCAACGACAGCGAAGGATATGCTTGATATGTTTATATACATATTTCAAAAGTTTTTTTTTTTCCTTGTCTTGAAGGAATGGAATTTTAAAATGTTTTATATCTTACTAATGAATTATCAATAAAATGAAACATTACTATTCACATTTACCAAACTACAAGCCCCTCTCCCGAGGAGTGAACGGTAAACTTAAGAACTTACAATGCTTAAATCCGAGGTTCTATTCCTGCGGTGAGCAGACCGCAGGTAGGCTTAACGATAAAACAACAACACAAATGACTTATTTTGTTGGAAGTGTGGATTCTTTAAAAAGACATTCTAAGAAGGCATTAGTACCTAAGAAACGTTAGTTATTTGATATTGTTTAACGTGCTGTCTTTCAGGACAGGGCCTGGTGGCTAGGGCGCTCGACTCGCAATCTGAGGTTCGCGAGTTCGATTCCCTGTCACACCGAACATGCTCGCCCTTTCACCCGTGGGGGGCATTATAATGTCAATTCTACTATTTGTTGGTAAAATAATATCCCAAGAGTTGGCGGTGATAACTAGCTGCCTTCCCTCTAGTCTACCACTACTAAATTAGGGACGGCTAGAGCAGGTGTCCCTCCAGAGGATTATGAGGAACAACTACAAAAAAACATAAAAATCTCGACTTTGAGCTTTGTATATATTAACATTAGTTTGGTTTGGTTTGAATTTCGT